AAAAAAAAAAAAATTTTTTAATTTATTGTACGAATAATATATATAAAAACGAATTGTCGTTCGAGCTATTCGATGCACCTAACGGCTAAATTATCATTATCGATTATCTTGATTTTTATCATCATATCGTCAGTATCATTGTTAATTATAGATGGGGCATTAAGAAATACCTACATCAACCACCACCTGAAGCAGTTGCAACACTAAAAAGATTTAAATAAACCGTATATACCACACACGGTACATATGTATAATATGTTATCTCGTAGACATGTACTCAATTATTATTCATATGTATAAAAAATTAATCGATTACATTCACCAAAATTATCGTATAGTACTTTCTAAGTGTGTAGAAGTACAAGTCCGAAAGGTGATAGGAATTTAATCTTTATTAACTTTTTTTTTATAATATTTCTTCGTACGCACGTTTTTATCATATCAACTATGTGTAACATTGTTCGGCCAACTTTGTATGAAAAAACTACTGTTAATTTTTTTGTTATCTTTCCTTGAACACACCCATACATCACAGTACACCCGCACATGTACACACCGTTAAAAATTAATCTCATATACAATAAAACGCCAAGTTCAATCAGTATAGTTTCATCGCCCGCTGGTTTTTCTATCCGTTCCTTTGTAAAACAAACGCAAGTGCAGAAGTCGCGTTTTTCTTTTTTACTACGGTCAACACTTTTAAATTTTATTGGAGCAAAAGTTATTCTGGAATATGTACGTGTAAATAAGTGATAAAAATTTACACTCATTCAAACGATTTTCGGATTGTTATTACGAAAATTTCGAGGGTTGAAAATTATAAGAAAATATGGATAAATTGAAACTGGTGCCCTTCGAGGAAGAGTTGAAAAAAAATTCAGAATTACGGGAAGATCACATGCAGGTAAAACAATACCTTATATCGTAAGTGTAAAAAAAAAAAAAAAAAAAAAAAAAAAGAAAGCTTCAAAAATATGTTGGATGAAGAGCACTTGATTAATATTCACCCTAATATTTCAGGTACTGAGAGAATGGCACAAAAAGCAGCCGCACCTGCCACCCATCACAGACAGCGAACTGGCCTTGTTCCTCCACAGCAATGAATACCACATTGACCCAACAAAGAGCACGATTGAACATTTTTATACTTTGAGAACACACTTGACCGAAGTTTTCTCAGGCAGGGACATTGAAAAAGACGATAACTTGAAGCAGATAAAAAATACAGTGTAAGTTCATTTTAAACAACAGTCATTAAAAAAAAATAACAGAAAACGAAACAATGCGGTGAATTTCGGCAAAAATATAGGCAAAAATCGAGCCCGAGTTTTTCCTTCTATACTGTGGGAATTTTACCCTTTTTATTCTTTTTTCTCGTTTTTTTTTTCCAGGTGACGATGTAAGTACGTTTTTTTTTTTTTTTTCGAGAAAGTTTTAATTTTATAATATTTTAAATATCATTGATACATTAATAACTCGATCTAAATATCTTAAACAGCAACATTTTCAGCGCTTTAGTTTGTAACATTTCAGTGCTTTTTTTATCTTTTATAAACGTAGTTAGAAAATAATATTTGAATACCTGTGGCTCGTGCAGTTCAAGGCACGATATAACTTGAGCTTTCTCGACTCAAAATTGTTGGATTTTGATAACAAAGTAAATAATTTTTAGCAACAGACGAGATGAGCTAATTTTCGACTATAACCAACTATGTACACTACAGATTAAAAAAAAAAAAAAAAAATCACTACTGGACAAGTTACAGAGATTATCGTGCATTTATGCTTCGCTTCGTACTTTTCCGTTTACGGAAAAGATAAATTATCGCATCAAGTTAGTGTACATGTACATCACCCGAAGCTATATTCATATCTGCGAATTTATTAATATGCGTATGCAATGTAGTATTTGTAATACAATTACAAAAAACTTGGTGTTAATTAACGCATGAAATTTTGAAACGTTCCAATTTATATATATATATTATAAAGCCCGCCTGATGATTGTGCATTAAATGATTGTATTATTTGGTGTAAAACATTATTCTATACGAAAACTAAATTATTTCAAACGAGTACTTTTAATAACTAAATGAAGCATGTTACTTTGTAAATAAATTAAACCATGAGATGGAAACAACATGGCACTTTTTAACGCTTTACAACCGAATATTTCTTAACGTACTTGAGAAAGATAAAAAAAAATATTTCCGGATTATCTAACGTGCAACATTTTATCGACAATATACAATTCCACGCAACAAAGTTCTAACGTATAATGGGGTCAACTGGTCGAACGCTCGGACGCTCGAATTGGGTCATCTCCGGTTTAAAAAATACACCCCACGTAAATATGACCACTGATTTTTTAACGCAATATTACATGGAAAAAAAAATTCCACAGATTGTGCTTCCCGCTGCCCCAGTTGTCTCCCGATGGCTACGGCATCATCTACGGCGCGCTACAGGACTTTGATCCCTCGCACTACAACTACACCAGAGCCGTGAAACTCCTCTCCATGACCTTGGACCTGTACATGTACCAACGCGGCACGATGAAGGGCCTCGTGATCATATTCGACCTCAAGGGCGTGGCACTTGGACACGCCAATCAGATAAACCTCGGCACGTTCAAGCGGTTCAACGAATACGTCCAGGCCGCCCTGCCGGTCAGGTTCAAGGGGATGCACCTCATCAACTCCAACAGCGCCATGGACGTCATAATGAGCCTGGCCAAGCCTTTCGTCAAAAAGGAAGTGCTCGACATGGTAATTACCACGAGTTTCTGTACATTTTACCTCCATCTAACTTTTTGGCTACATGTGTATTATCCGCGCAGATGCACTTGCACCCCAAGCCCGAGACCTTGGAGAATTTCAACATCAGCCTGGACCTGCTGCCGAACGAGTGCGGGGGCAAGGCTGGAGCGCAAAAGGACCTATTTGCCAAGGAGTTGAAGAAACTGGAAGAGCACCGCGAATGGTTCCTGCACGAAGAGAAAAATCAACGGGTCGACGAGGCCAAGCGCGCGAACGGACCGGAGCGCCTTACCGATCGTTCGAGTCTCAAGGGTAGTTTCAAGAAACTCGAGCTCGACTGAAACGCCTCTCTGATTAAACAATAACAATTGTTTTCCCTTTTTTTTCCCTCTGCTTGCAATGAGTATATCATTAAACGATTATGCGTACACAACGACTGCCCCAATTTGTTAACCGATCCATTCTCATCAACAGAATATCAACTCGAAATGGATATTTTATTTGTTTCGAGTACGACAGTACAATTACAGTATGATGTATAATCTGTGAGCATGTTCGTGTTGAAAGATAGAAAAAGGAAAGAAAAAAAATCGGTCACAAGGCCTTGCATGAAACCATGTATTAGGGGAAATAAGAGCCGAAGCGGTGCATGTAATTAACCGGCACCCTAAGGCACCCGAAATCTATTGCAAAAGTCTCGTTTGCTGTTTCATACAATGTGGAGAGAGAGAAAAATAATATTTATCCTTAGTCACCGCTTGACACGGGCAAACATCGTTTCGACGCGTCATCAGGAACAAAAGACGCCTTCCGCAAATCATGGCTGTTATTACCGATCTCTCTAACGTATTTCACCGCGACGCGGATGCGTACGAGGCATATTTATATACAACGTAACGTTAGGCGGCGCGTTTGCGTGACCTGCAATGGTAATAACAGTCACGCACATCAGTACTTAATCATTAAACGATCATCGTCAAGTTTACGTGCACACCAGCTCTACCGGTCACATCCAACTAGTTGTTCCATCGCGTGTGTCGGGCAGTGCGATCACGTCGAGTCGCGGTAGTAGCGGAAAAAAAAAAAAAATCATTTTTAGTTGATCATGTCGGCTTCGCTTTTCGTTCCCTACGAGGAGGAGTTGAAAAAAAACCCCGAACTCAAGGAGTCGGACGTCCAAGCGCTGAGGGATTGGTGCGCCAAGCAGCCGCACCTGCCGAACATCACCGACACCGAGCTGGCCTTGTTCCTCCACAGCAACTATTACCGACTCGAGCCGACGAAAAGCACCATCGATGCCTTTTACACGGTTCGCACCCACGTGCCCGAGTTCTTTGCCAATCGAGACCCGCTCAGCGTCAAGGAGTTGCGCCAGGCTTTCAATGTCTCGTAAGTGTCGATCGGTTGCTTGTATTGTCTTGCTTTCATCGTGTTACACAGATAATGACCGATTCGGTAATTACCGATATATTTTGTCGCGGTCAGAAAAATGTTGAGCATAAAATAAGAGTGGCCTTTTTGCTGCTGTGTATATATATACTAAGTTAAAAAAAAATTAGGCCACTCGTAGAAATGATGATCGTCACATATACAATATAACATGTACGCAAGTATGTACGAGACAAAGTAAAGGAAAAGCATAAATCCCAATATAATGGATTGCAGAACCGTGATGCCGTTCGAGAGGACGACAAAGGAGGGCTACTCGGTGATATTCGCGAAGCTGATAGACTTTGATCCGTCCAAGTACGTGTACAACGACAACATGAAGTTTTTCAGTATGAGCATAGATCTGTGGATGTACAGCCACGGGACCATCAAGGGCCACATAATACTCGTCGACACGAGTAACGTGGCCTTCGGTCACGCGGCGCGCATCAATCCACTGGGCCTGAAAAAGTTCCTCTACTATCTCCAAGAGGCACTGCCCGTCAGGCTCAAGGGCCTCCACTTTATGAACACCAACGCTGCCATGGACGTCATCCTCAACATGATGAAGCCCTTCATGAAGAAGGAACTTACGGAAATGGTGGATAACACTATACCTGCTCTCCTTTTTTATTTGAATATTTAAGATAAAGACGAAAAAAGTTACGAGAGTTTTTTTTTGGTAGTTACATCTGCACTCGTCGTTGGAGAGCCTCGACAAATTCATACCGATCGAGTTTCTTCCGAACGAGTTGGGCGGCAAAGCTGGGCCGCTGATGGATTTGCACAGAGCGCAGGTGAAGAGGATCGAGGAGCATCGGGATTGGTTCGTCGAGGAGGAGTCCCAGGCGAGGGTCGACGAGAGCAAGAGGCCCGGCAAGGGTAAAAACGCTACCGATCTTTTTGGGGTCGAGGGTAGCTTCAAGAAACTCGACATTGATTGATTTGTCTCTATTTTGTTTTTAATTATTGTTTCGGACATTGTTACGTTTAGTCCTTTGTATACGCGGTGTTATTTTGAAATTTATCGGAAACCGATTTTTGGCTCTTGAATTTTTTGGATTACGAAATTAAATGATGCTTTGAAATAAAGAGGTTTGGAAAAGTCAGAGGAAAAAGCTGTACTTTGCACATACTTGATTTTTATTGTTTTCTTAAAAAAAAAAAAAAATGCACTCCACTTTTTGCACAACGTACATTACATTTATTTATCGTTACACGCAGGCTATAGAGAGTTCCTTCTATGTCTTATAGATTTTCCTTTACCGAACCGTTTCGTCGATGAACAGTTGTTTATCCCAAATTTCCTTGAACCCATTGATAGTCACACAAAATACATTCACGCAAAATAATTGCAAAACAATCAATTATACTCTCTAAGGAGAAAAACCCCGTTTGTTTTTGTTCTTTTGTAAATGTGGACACGCCTCTCGAGGCAAAGGAATTATAGTATTTAAAAAACCAACCAAGAAACTCATAAATATTAAACCGTCGTTGTTGAGCGTGTTGTCATCGAGCGCACCTTCGGACCCAAACCACTTTCACCAGCAACGTGCGGCGCTCTGTCACGAAAAACACTTCTCTCTCCTCGGTTTCTTCAGTGTATACTATACAAGCAGGGGCCTCTTGCTGGAGGTAGATTAATACATCCACGCGTGCGAAACTCTCGATTTAACGGTGCAACGATAAATGTTTCAACAATGATGGTCTACATGGTAAGTACAAGTATCAGTTTTTTAGTGATTAACAATAATATGTTTTATAGTGCTTTTTTAACGCCATAGTAGAGATACGGAGATTGTGTCAATCGGTTTGGAAGAAAAAAAAAGCGCGCAGGTATATGATAAAAGTGCGTTGTCGCAGGTGAAAATGTGGCACACGGGTATAGATGTACCTACACAGGCACACAGTCGCTGCCTGAAAAGTGAAAGCAAATGGCGAATTCAGCGATTATGTATTATTATGTGCCTACGATCGAGGACTTTTTTTTTTTATCTCCTCAAAAACCTCGATTGATTTTGATTCGGCGATACTTGTAACGTTACAAATGAAAAAAAGTAATAAAAGAAAAAGATGAGAATCGGTAGAAATGGAAAGAATTGAAAAACTTAGTGCAAGCCCCCCCATGTTTGTTAATCTTTCGAAGACTAAAAGTTATCTTGCGCGCAGATTTTTCTAGTTGGCCTAGCGAGCGTGTGCGGGGCTGCCGACGAGCTTTTACCACCTGCAGTGAATGACGTTACGACCCAAGGGCCACCGAACCCCTACAGCTTCCAGTACAAGGCCGGCCGTTACCCCGGGCACGTCGACCGCGTCCAGAGTGAGATCGGCGACGGCACTGGCCGCGTCAGAGGTAAAACAACTATCGCCGAGCGTTGATTTGCTATTTATTTATAGTTAACCCGCAATGGGTCGAGCTATTGATTGAAACACGAAATTTGTGGCCAACAGGATCGTACTCGTTCATCGATCCGAAATTGAAGGTGCGAACCGTTGAGTACACGGCGGACGAGAACGGGTTCCACCCGGCCTTGATAAACTACGATGACGTGCTGAATTACCAGCCGAAGGACTCCGAGGCCGTGAGGCGAGCTAAGGAGCGGCACAACGTGCTCTATCAAAAAATCGCCGCCTCGAGGTCCCAAGGTGCTCCAGTCGCGGAGTTGCCCAAGGTACGGGGAAATCGGTATGGCCGGGTCGTCTCGGGTGATCATGATTTACCCTGGACTATGAATTTGTTGGCAGGACTCGGCGAGCGTGGCCAGAGCCAAGGACCGGCACAACAGCTTGTACCGGAAAATCGCGGCCGAGCACGCGGCCATAGCGAGCGAGCGCGAGGCACAGAGGCGAGCTTTCGAGGCGACTTCGGTGGCTAATGAAGTCAGCGAGCCGGAGGCGTACCTTCATTGACGCGTTGCTTGCTTCATCGTTGAACAATGTTTCTGCTGTTTTTTCTCTTCTTTTCATCGTTACCGATTGAAAAAAGTGACGAGAGTTCTTACTGTGCCAAGTTTACTTTATTCTTTTTGGTCTCGACAGTATATAAATTGCCTTTTTATTATAAGATATGCATTTTAAATTCGTTGAATCGTATGTTTGTTTTTTTTGTTTTGTTTTTTCCGGTATAGCAGATGACAAATTTGAATACTACAGATATTTTTCGTTGCTACGACATCTACATATTTTAGCAGAGTTCTTAGAACGGAATTTTTTTTTTTTTCTTTTCTTATGAATACACCATTACAAACAATCATAACATTCATAAAAATCTTCTTAATTTAGTATAGGAAGCCGAAAGCAACGACGTATTTTATTTACACATTTTTAATAATTTAACTAGAATCGTGTGAGAAACAATTACTTCTTATAATTGTATATTATTAAATATTTTTGATCAAAGAGTTTAATTGTTTTTAAAACCATACCTCCGGTTAACTCGTTAAAAACTAAAAAGTATATTTCACGTTACCTAATTCCTTACAGATTAAAACTGTCCAACACAAGCACGTAACTGATAACTCATGCCACAACGTTGATACATTTCTCTTGTGAGAAAAATAAAACGAGTTTTCAATCAACACTGCCGGATATGTGGGATTACGATTACTTTTTCAACAAGTTTCTTATGTCTTTGTTCTGCCTCTGGATAGTGATATCGGCTCTCTCAGCTTTGTCGGTGATATTGTCGATCAGATCGTTTTGTGTATTAATCTCCTCTGACAAGCCAATAGCCAGATTCTTCAAAGTAGCGATCGAGCCGCTCATTTCGTCTAAATTCTGTTCCAGCACAGCAGCCGCATTTCTCAAGTGAGTTTGTTGGAAGTTATCCATCTCCTCTTCTTCTGTTAGGCCACGTACACGCAGATAAGGATGTTCAGAGCTGCGTCTCGTACTTTGGGCAGAACTGTTTAATCTTTCAGCCAATATACTTTCCGAGGTCGGAGACAGCGGGGACGTCGGACTCCTCAACCCGGAAGCGCTCGAGCCATTAGGTAATTCCATCGACTTGCTGCCACTGAAGTAATTTTTTAGACCGCCAAAGACACTCTTTATACCTTGAATGTGTTTTTGGCTGAAGCGCAGCGTGCTGTTTATGTCGTCGAGACGTCGATCGGTTCGTTCCAGTTGCTCTCGCTGTTTTATCAGTTCCTGCACAAAAATTGTTTTTCAAAACTATTATTTTTCACTTTCAAAATTTGTATGAAAAATCCGAGTAATATTTATTTAAAGTGCATTATTACAAGTGAATTGTACTCGAACTGAATTTGTTTGACCTTGCATGCAGAACACATCTGTTTAACTTATCTTGTGTAGATAAAAACTCTGGCAAATAACAAATACCTCAGCAGTAGCAATGCCAATGTGTTCCGTGTCCAACAAAGTTTTCAAAGAACGTTCCGAGGATTGAATGGTTCTTTCTTCAATCATTTTCCGCCTTTCAATGAGTTCCTGCTGTTTCCTCTGCAATTCATCATTGTAGTTTTGATAATGATTGCCGACTCCATAGTTGGATGATGTTGGATACCTTGGTGGTGCACTTCTTAGAAAGGTTTCGTCATCCACATCATCCTCCAAAGAGAAGAACGGGGTCTTTGGGTCCCGCAGATAATTATTAGCCATTATAGATCTAAAAAGTAAACAAGACAAAGAAATGAAATGATTGTCGGATGACACACTATTACGTTTAACAAAGAGTATAGTAAAAGGCAGACGTAAACCGTGCGTATGATCTACACAACTGGATTAAATGAAAAGCTAGGTTTGTTTGAGTATACTTTATAAAGTACCAAAAGAGCGATAGATCTTTGTCATAGCATACATTGTTTTCATTCCTTGAAGCACAAACAAGTATCAATTTCATGCCAATGTTAAACAACCCCTAAAACCCTCGATAGTAACACTCGAACGACAAAGCGCAACAAATTCTCTTGATTGGCTGAGTTGAGTAAAACACAATGTGCCCTTTATTGATATGAAAATTGTTTGACTCACCCAAGATAAAATCGTTCATTAACGCTGGATGCTGCAAGTGCACGACAGCTTTGCGACACTATACGTTTCACTGCACAACTATTTCGCAAATGACTGTGCACCAAAAGTAATAAATATCAAACGTTGAAAAACAGCTGTAGGAAAGTCTTGTAAAAAGTTAAAAACCAACTAATTCATGTAGCGATCGAACAAGTTTCTCTCTTTGACGTATATATAACGCAATAATATTAGGCGTCAGCGTCACACTGACTCACTCACATCAATAGAGGCAGACGACGAAACAACACATGTTTTCGATACATCGAGACATAATTGTATCGATGCTATCGTTTAAAGTCGATATTAACCGCGTTTCGATACTTCAAATACGATCGATTCTTTGACACTCAGTTCTTTTTTTGCGCGCAACTAAACAATTTTTTTTTTCTATTCAATAATCAATACGTACCTTGGTTGTTACGGAGTATTGTCGAGAATGTTAGATGTACGGGTAATATAATGATGTCTTACCACGAACGTAATTCCTGTAGGCAAATTCAGAAGAATGAAAAAAATAAATGATACAGACATTTAATCGGTAAAACAGATTTATTGTATATTATATAAATCCAAGGAAAATTTCATTATTATTTCACAGATTTGTTACGAGTTAACAGCATTTTGAATAATTTCCACAAATATATGGAGCTTTTAATGAAACAGGCGATCAAATCGTTACGTCATTGAAAAAAATGTATATATGCCCAAGCTATGAATGTTCTGTCTTTACAGACAGTTGTACAATTAGTATTTAATTAAATGTTTTTCGAGTAGTCTTTTATTTTCGAATATTAATGAAGTGCAGTACATAATGTACACGTTTTTAAAAGATTATATAAATTAAACTTTGGTTGTCTCTTGGTCTACATCTACATTGTACAATATACTATAATTTAAGAATTGTACAACTATATACATCATCATGGTTTCCCCTGAAGAGTTGAAAGTAAAATATTAGAATTACAAAGATACCTACATACATCATATATTTTTTTAACGAAAACTCTTTTTTTTCCCCTAGCTTTTTCATTTCAGTGATACAAGGAGGTGAACGAGGGTAGTTGCTACATAAGTGGTGATACTTTATTCGAAGTATCCCAGCATAAATTACTTTTATTTTTACACATGAGCAATTTACAACCATCGCCTCCTGTACCTATGTACAGTTAAGGTATATATATTTTTTTTACTATTTTATCGAAATAATTTTTTTTTTTTTTTTAGTATTATTATTAATATATATTTCACAGCACGGCAAAGTGAATGTGATACCCTCAGTGAAAACCGTTGCTCAGAGCACCAGCTCACCACTGTCTCATCCTCACGCGTTGTTTGAACAAAAATTATCTCGTTCGACTCGATACATCGGTATATTACAATAAATTACATTGTTTTTACGCGCCCGTGAGTTTGTTTGCCAACAAAAAACACCTTGGCAGGTAATTAGCTCTCTTTTTCTGTACTTTTTTTTTTCTTCTTCTTTTTTTTGTGAAAATACTGTTTATTTCGTCTTGAAGTGCTTTCCAGGTTTGCCTCGTCGTCCCTTGTGATAGCCACCCAAATCCGTGAAATAGCTTACGGTGCACTTGGCGCGGGGCCGTTCGACGGGTGCGTTAAGTGCCGTCGTCCAAATCATCGAGGCAACGATGCCCAGTGCCCGCGACATACACAGCAGCAATTGGTTGTAGTTCATGTCTCGCAAGCCGTAAAACTGGGGCGAAAAAAATATTGGTCATCGTTATCGAGTGCCATTTGGGTTATTTGTTTGCGAGGGATAATAACATTTACCTGAAAGAGCGGAGCAGCTATGGCGTTTTGCTCCGCAACCATCGACTGGTTCCTAGCTTCTTTTATTTGCTTCGTGTAGACTTTCGATATTTGCTGCGACAGCTGTTGACAATAATTATAATACCGAGTATTTATCAAAATAATGGTTTAAAACGTGCTTAGCTGGAAGTACAAGCATAAATACATTTTGTCAGTCTTGAAACATTATATTAAGATTTTTCTTTTTTTTTCAGTTTGTTGCTTATAAGGTTGCTTCTGGATGATTTAATTAAATCTAAGTTTCATTACAATTCAATTAGGAATTAAAATTCATTTTTTTTTTCTTTATCAAAACACGATTAATTAAATGGAGTAATAAATGTTATTGAATCGAATAAGTGAAGCTAAAAAAAAAGTGAATTTAATTATTAAATTGAATAACAATCAATTATAATTTTATTAAAATTTTTATTGAAAAAAAAAGTTTAATTGAAAATTAAATTTTAATCCTAACTGTTTGATCGAGAAATTTAATATTCAATGATCTCGAGTACACCGGAATAACGTTTAATCGATAATTTATGACCATCTCTATTTGGCTAAATACTTTTTTTCGAAACAACCAATGCCATACACGTGGACAGCGCAAAAGCATTTTTGAAGCTGTGACAGGATCTGCATGAATGTTTTCCTTCAAAAATTGTTCGTTTAGATGGAGCTAGTGGAATATTTGATTAAAAATAAATTTGGCTTTCTCTTAAACGCGTGTACTTTGCAATGGATCGAGCATGCAAATTTAAGCCGTAAAAAATGTACCCTTTCGAAAAATTCGGAGGGAGGAAAAAGAAAGGGTAGTCAGCAGTGAATACCTTGATTTCCGGGTCATTTGGCACGTTGCTCCTAACGAACTCCTGTAAGACCTTGTAACGGGTGTCTTCGAATTGGGAGCTCTTGTGCCCCGTAAACTCGAATCTCTTATCCACGAGGATTTTCACGAAATTTCGCAAAATCTCGTTCTTTGGCTCACGACCAACGGCGTTTTGAAATTGCACCAGAAAATCCATGTACTGAAATGAAAAAAAAAAAAAAAAAAAAAGATCATGAGAAGATCGTTACATTGACGAATTTCCACCTGTACTTTGCTACATTCCAAGTAAATGGAATGGGTGAAAAATGAATTTCCAATAGCACAACTGTGTCGTACGTTAATTTGTAAGCCCGAAATTATTCGGCAACCAGAAATAAAGCAAAAATTTATCACACCCCGCACAAGTAGGGCGTTTCTCGACACGCAACAAATGAGCCGCTATTTTGTCCGTACCCTTACATACATTCGCAAACCGACGAGGAAGGGTGTACCGTAGTTACCACCGTTGGATGCAACGGTCATTGTTTATAGCTCTAATTTTAAGCCGCAAATCGGTAACATGTGCACACACATGTATACACAAACAGTGTAACAAAGAGCATGTACGAGGTGCGCGTAGGCATGTAGAATGATCTGCTTATATTATATAGGGGTACCTGACAAAGAGTGCCGCTGGTGGGCTCGTTGGCGTAGGCGAGAACACCCGCGGCCAAAGCTCTGCTGGCGTCGTACTGGCTCGTCCCCATGATTTGCGCCACGTGAGCTCCCGGTATTCCACCCTCGTCGTCACTGTCGCACAAATAATTGAATATATATAGGTACGCATACATATGTATGCATGGACAGGTATGATTTTATATACATACGCGTGCACGTACACCCGGTATGTGTATGTACTTATATATATACGTATATGTATGTAGGTGTATGCATCGCCACGACGCCTCGAATGAATAAACATGGGCATAGAATTGTGCCCGTACGTGCTGAATTGGGGCGTAGGGAAAACGTATAATTTGTTTCGGGTATTGTGTTGATGCTTCTACGTGCGGTGATGTTGGCACGAATTTTAGAAAGAAATATTTTTTTTTTTTTCCTAAACTTGTTATAATTGGGTGATAGTATTCGTATCTGTCAAGAATTGCGTTTGTGTTTGTATTTTTCAAAAGCATTGATGTTTCGAGATTTGGTTTGAATTGATATTCAAAGCCTTTCATCCAAATATGAAGCATACGTAGAAGCACAAAACAGGGCTCAAATCAATCGAAAACTTCAGAAAGGGTCTACAGTTGGTTTTAGATTTTGCTGGCATGGAACAACATCCTGTCTTGGACCGAATTATTCAACACGAAGTTTGCTCACTTTATGAAAAAAAAAAAAAAACCTGTGAGTTGTATCTCTCTGTTGTTCATGGTTCCACGCAATCGTAAAATGTACGTGTACGTAAAATTTTTTCTGGAAAAAGAAAAAAGGGCAACATCATCGGCACGAAACTTACGCATTGACGGAGACGTAGAGCCGCAAAAAGTCCCCGAGGCCCTGCCTCTGGGCCTCGGAGAAGCTATCGTCGACATTGTGCAGACAGTCGAGGAAAAAGTCGATCCAGTCGGCCTTCTCCAGCACCAAGCTGGACCTGCGCGTCTCGGTGGCACTGACCAGCGCGACGATGGCCGGCAACGAGGCCAGCAGTTCCATACTGTCCTCGTAAATGTGCTGCGAACCGGAGAGAAACAGTCCCGTATAAAGTACCCGTGCACATACGTATACAACCTACGGATGGGCGACGCTGGATCGGTGATCAATTAGAGGCGATGGTAATGCGAGAGAGGGCCAATTTCCACCCACACGCTCGCAACGCCAGCTTCATCCACACCCCCTGCGAGTAGAGGAGGAGCTGGTGTGGTAGAATCAAAGTCGGAAATTACACGGGCAGACGGACAACGACCTTCCCTCTGTGCCTTTCGACGTAGCCTGCGCTTGTTATACACATGTGCATCATATCATACGCACGTGTCTATTCATTGGTCTGATCACTCTCGTTTATCACTGACCCTTTGACCAATCGTTAAAATCGGACGCCTCATTTTTTTCCCCTTGTTTTTATCCCTTTTTTTTTTTTTTTTTTTTTTTGTATCTAGCGTTGTTTTTTTATTTTCAACATGATTTAACAACGAGGTGTACTGATTGGAAAAAAAAAGAATCTTTACTTGAATAATTGCACAATGTACAAGGGCTGCTTTGCAAACTGGATGCTACAAAAAATTGCACCCACGAGAAACTCTTGCTAAAATCACTCGGCTACACGGCGCACTTGATAAACGACGATTATTAAATACGCGATTTAACTTGTGCATGAGATAACACAGCGTATACAGTCCGAGTAGAAGATAAATCGCGAGCAATCGCTTGGCTTGGCTTGGCGTACAGCTTGTGCACACACGAAGCACCGCGCGAACAATTGATAAAAGGCCACACGCGAAAAGGATCAGGTCGAAGCCTCAATTTGTCATGCCGGCGAAAAAAAAAAAAAAAAAAAAAAAGTTAATGCAGTTTTCGGTTGTTTCACGCTATAGCTTCCGTAGCACGCGAGTGCACACGAATACCGTTGATACAGGGCGCGAGGGGGAGTAAGGCAATATTGTGTTTGCCCAATTTTTTTTTTACACGATCCCTGTACGCTTCCCAATACGTTCGGTGCAGATTCTGGGCACGAGGCGTTTCATGGTAATGACGTTCCATCCGTATTCAGGACACAATACCCTTCGCTCGCGTGCACGTATGCGCCCTCGCTCTATATAATTTCTTGCAAGTGCGTCGCTACATATTTACATGGAATATCGAGCCTTTCGATAATCAAGACCAGCCCTCCCCATCCATTGGGTATTCCGGACGAAACCGAGAGTTTCGCGATAGAGTTATATCATCATTACCATCTTTTGCGTTTACGTATGCAGATGTAACACTCGGACGGTTTATCGGGGGCGTTACAATGGCTTGAGGGGCTCGCTCATTTTCATCACGCCACGCCCCAGTGATTCCTTTTAAAATGAGCCTCTGAGAGCGCAAATTTTTCAAAGGCCGGGAGGATGAATTTTCTTGGTGATTTTACGTGAATATAACGTTCGAAGTGATCGATATAAAGAGAGAGGGAATGCGATTACGAAAGTGTGGTTAAATCCCGAGTGTAGGTTTTTTTTTTTTTCATGCTGATGACACGAGTACTCATTTAAAACAAAAAACAAAAAAAGAGAAAAAAGCAATTACCGAGAAAATAAATTGATGAGTTTTCAACTTTGGCACAGGAGCTATCGTTTGCCGCGTTTCTCAATTTTTCACGTTGCAAACTAATGAATTGAATATTGATCAGTACAGGGTTTGTCCCGATGAATTTATTTTCCGGCTGTATATGCTGTTGGGGCTAAAAGGCGCGGTGATCAAAGTAGTAAATAGCGCGTGAACGAGCGTAGAAGTGAGGTTTATATCGATTACTAACATTTTTCGCTTCTGTACACGTCAGTTTGAAGCTGAAAATAAATTTTAACGTATCATGGCACCGATACACTTTATTAAAAACACGTGTCCCATTTCATTTCGTTATAATTGGCATAACTGCGCATGGCGTTGGTTTTTATTTAAACAATTTATTGCCATGCATGCTATCAATGAGGCTTCTGAAACTTGTTACATACTGTGAGCAGCTGTTAAAATAATTATAGCCTTTTTTTTTATTATTTAACTGTAAAAAAAAAAAAAAATATCAATATTCGCTTATTATACACGATATTTTTCGTCCATCGCAGTAAAAATAATGTTGCGTAAAAAAAAAAAAGAATAGAAAAAAGATTACGTTACATTAACATCAGAACACTTGTTGTTGGTGCAAAATTTGTTGTCATTCGAAAAAATGGTCTGCAACATATTTATCTTTTTTTTAATCGAACGAGTCACTTTATCACACGTGGCGCGGCACGAATCGCGCCGACATTCTATTTTTCACACCTACTTTCAACTCCCCGAGCACACAGGGGGTACACGCGAGACCACTGTCGAGCAACACCCACACACAGCCACCCCGCGTGCCACTTGAAAGACCAAACATGGTACACGTGCGATCTGCTGCTGTCATCAATCATATTTCAAAAACCATCCCTCTTCTTCCTCCTACCCTCCCTTTAGCTCATCACCCCGATAAAAACGCAAGGAAAACATAAATAAATAAAAGGCAGAGGCAGGAAAATATAAGGAGAGAAAAAAAAGAAAAGACCGACCTCCCAGTACGAGTAGCTCATGACGCCGTCCTTGATGGCCCTTTTGATGTGGTTGTCGGCGTCAAGGGCCGTGAGGGCGATGGCCAGCCGACCAACCGGAGGCACGTTGTTGGGAAGTGCTTTCAATATGCCCCCGACGACGCCGCCAAGTTCACCCGACGACTCGGACCACCACCAATCCTTGCGCCTGGCTCTACGTTCCGTCCAGTCGGCCGTCAGTGCCTCGGCTTGCTCGTGCGTGGGCACGTCCCCGGTCAGGAGTAGCCAGAACACGGCCTCGGGACTCGGCGAGTTGCCCTTCCGGGGCAGAAGATTGTAGAGCTCGGGCAACGACAGCCCGCGGTACTTTATCTGCAAGGGGTCGGTCGGTTTTAGCTGATCAAGTAGATTAGGGCCGGATTAGACGCGGACGCGGGGATTATCAGTAGAACGGGTCAGCGTATGATCAGACGGATCTGAGAAACTAAGCTTGGGAAGCGGGGGGGAAAACGTCAGACGTTAACGCGTGAACAACACTATTTTGTGTATCTATCTGCATATTTTTTGCAGTTTAGAAATCTATAGACGTACTAGTCAATGTTATATATATATATATATATATATATATATTTTTTTTTACATGTCTCGGGTCTTAAGCTCGTCGCAACAGATGTCAATCCTATGAGAACAATTGGAAAATTGAGCAGGAGTGAATTTATTAAATTAAATATAACACCCTAGTCAAATTTCATTCACGGGTTTTAAATCGATAATGCCTCGGGTAGTCATCATCGGATGAAAATAACATATTATGATACTCTTTGTTGTTTTGATAGGCTTAATTCGTATAGTATAAAGTAAAAAATATTGTTTAAGAATATCTACTGGCGGAGATCACCATAAATCAACGTGATCGAAACACTCGTGTGTAAGTATAGTGTGAACTCGTCAATGATATAGCATTTTCAACACCTCCACGTAACAAAAAAAAAAAAAAAAAAAAAAAAAAAAAAAAAAAAAAAAAAAGCGATCGAGTGGCAAAAAGTAAAGCACCACATGACACTTACTCCAGTCTGAGGGTCGTACTCCGACGTCTCCCTGATGAGGGCGTTGACCCCATCGAGGCCGCGATATATGTCGTTGACGGTGATCTGACTGACAACGTCGAAGCCATGCACCCGATGGAACTTGCGCAGGAGGTCGTGGTGCAGGGGTATCTTCTCGCAGAGGACCTCCTTGAGATCCGTGCTCGTGCTCGGCACGCCCCGCGTCGTGCTCAGCTTTTGTGTGGCCCACGCGAGCAAGAGGAAAAAATTTGAATTTCAGATGCTTGCGGCGTGGCTAAGCTTTTGAGTATTCCAAGGGCTGGGGGCTTTTTGTGGATGGGAGTTGGTGAAGGAGCGAGAGAGAGGTCAGGAGGGGGAGCTCTTTTATTTTGAATTCACGACGAGTTGAGAAGTTCTGGCTCGGTTGGCCGTAAATTTCAAGTTCTGTGGGTCTAAGAATAATGAGGAAAATTCCCGAGTACCAGTTTCTTTTGTTTTTACGGCACTGGTCTGTAGAATCGGTTTGATCTTGTTCATTTTATTGCATAGGATATCGAGGATAATTAATTGGAATTTTTGCTTCTGAAGACTAATGATGCCGATTTTATTGTTGTTAAATACGGGGTTAGAGGAATAATTGAATGGTTTAAAATCAACATTACCTGTATACTTGTTTGAAAAATTCATAGTTGCGTGCACAATAAATGAAGTTTTAATTGGTAAAAATGTAGATACGATATCAACTCCATGGTATCTTATTTTAAAGGCTATCGTTTTTTGTTTTAAACGAGATTTTTTCATTTAACTTGGAAACATTTAAGCTAGGAAAATAAAGTTGCTGAATTAAAATTCTTTTTTTATTAGCATATTTTAAAATTATAGAACAATTTTAATTTATTGGTATTATATTTCACTTTAATGTGAGACAGTATTATAATAAGATTAGTGCGAAAATTTTCTTTCATGTACAAGTATACGTGCAGTTTCAAGAAGTACTACATAAATGTTAAAAAATTCGTACGAATTTGAGACTGATTTTAATTTTTTTGTAGCTATAAGAGGTACATATGTAACTGACTGAAAAATGAGGTAATCGATTACTGAAAAACATAATCTATGTGAGATTTCTCTGGTTAGAAAAAGTTATCAAGACCGAAAAAAAACATAAAAAATAAGTGAAATTTCATAAATATGTAATTAATTTTTTTTTTCAAATTGGGTAATCGCGATTTTTTAATTTATCACAAGCTCAACAAGTTACTAAATTTAATTATACTTTTTTTCAAAACAATGTAACGAATTGCGGAATCTCTCATGTATACAAAACACAGCACAGACACACACATATGCAGTCATGCAGTGTCTGCACACGAACACGGAGCATACGATATCACGGATAAGGACACTATATATACGAAGACGAAGGTAGAGAGAAAAACATAACCTCGCGCGAACAGACGACTCACCTTGGGCACGATCCTCTCGAAGTCCTTGCCAAAGTCACTGGACGACGGTGCCTTGTCGATCTTTAGGAACGCGGCATTGGCCGATTTAAGCAAGTCTTGCCTGGCTTTCACGCTCCGGAACATTTTTGCTTCCTCACGCTTTGTTTATTCACATATACTGCACTCGCGTGTGTGTGTGCGTTTCGAAAGCTCGGCCTTTGCTCCACTTTGCAAGCTCTACTGTTGCTCTGCCACTGTCACTCGTGCACGGAAACGTCAGACGGATTATAATGATTTTCCGATAAATTCCATGGTCACTGAAAATTTTGCGTGACTCAGTGTTTGCCGAAATGAGGATGTACGGGCGAAAGGTTGGTGCGGAAATTTATGACTTGGAATTTGGAAACATGCGATGTAGGTTAAGACGCGATGGTAAAACAACAACAAGAGAAACAACAAAAGAGAATATATATATATATGTGTGTGTGTGTGTGTGTGTGTGTGTGTGTGTGTGTGTACAATTATAATAAGATGGATGTAATCGAAGAGTCAAGGTTATCAGTATGTGCTTTTATCGTCTATTTATTAACTGATCACGTAATCACGTTTTTATCCAAACATATCATAATATAACTTTCTCGAAAAACCACACGTCAAACGTAATAATTTATTCTCGCAACAAAACAATGTATGCTCATTTACAGTAGTCTACGTCCTAGTCTAGAACACACCACCTGTTTTTTCAACATATTTTTTTTCAATCGACACCTCTTTCTCATATATTTTAATATTTATTGTTAATAATTCTTCCACTAACGTTACATTTTTTGCCTCATTTTGATTTCGTTTCTATTTCCCTTTTGTTTTTTTAAGTTTGCTCGTCGTCAAACTCATAAATATTATATAGTGTAAGAAAGTCACGGTAAAAAGAGTCAACTATAGCAACTGACGTATGTATACTCCATCAGTGACATATTCGATCGTTGCGTGTCTAATAATACAACATGGCACATATTCAATGGTCTCACCTTCATGTTCTCACTAGCAATGAAAAAAAAAGAAAAAATAAACACTTTACTATCGCACCTCAAGGTCACAGATCTAATGACACATCACACTGTCTGTATGTTGGACGCGGCGATAGTTACAAACGCAAGCTTGAAACTAGATGACATCGACAAACTATTGGGTATACGTATTAAGAATATCTTTGTTTTTCTACTCGCGATTTTAAATATTCATAAACAAGAGATGAAAGCTCTGGCAACGCAAGTGTTGTGTGTACATGTACTTATTTGACGTTCCCGTGCAGTGTCGGAGAGAAGCCAAGTCGACTTACACACCCACACCCGTCCTCGCGAGAGGAGATGTGGTGTTTCGGGTGCGCGCGCATCGATGTGCACGCAACTTATTCGCTTGTATATATACTTCACAAAGACACTGCATTTTACCAATTGCGGAAACAGCTGATGATGATAATGATTTATATAGTTATGCGCGTGTGGGATAATTTTTTGGCACTGCTCACGTGCGTGTGTATACACGTTGACTTGCTTTACTACGTAATATGATGAATTTTTTTTTTTTTTTTCTACATATGTCTTACCTTAACTTGTCGGTATCTACTGAAAATCACGTAGTCTTATCTTTTTATTTCACCGAATTTTTTTTTTTCTGATTTCAACTTTTTCCTACTACTCACACTTCTAAAACACGATCAATCTAACTTTGCACATGTGCACAACTCTGGATTTTGCTGGTTTTCTACCTTGTATTTTATTTTACGGAAAATTCGCTCTCACAAAGTCAGATGCGCATCACCACCGTTTACGTATGTATAATAGCCTCGGAGTATACAAATTGACGGTAACAACATTGTGCATTTCGTATGTATGTAACAGTTTTATTTATTTATCATTTTCATTCTTAACTTTATTACTCGCTCATCGATAACATGTGTATATATTTTTATTTATTTTTTATTCGTAGATTATATTTTTTATATAATTACAATGGTTACTCTACGTCGTACACTTATTGTTGTTATTCTTGTTTATTTTATCATACATTTTACAAAAGACCCCAATTTTTTTTGTTTATTGTTGTTTTTTCTTCATTGTTCTTAACTAGATTCACACTTTCACACTTAATCTCTAGAACAAGTTGGCTATTCAAAAAAAAAAAAAAATACTACTACGGATGGACACAAGGCACGACTGCTACAATTTTCACCAGATAACGATTATTACGTGCATCGTGATGTTACTGCTTTTTTTAATTAGTATTAATACCTTAAAATAATTATGAATGATCAAGTATTTAATATTGATATTACCGTGGAACGAATTATTTTTTTAAATTTTAAATTAACAACTTTATACATCAGTGGTCGAAAAAATAGTATCTATGTATTATTTTTAAATGTTTATAGGTCACTAGGATTTCATCAGGGACAAAAGTAAGAAATGTAAAATTTTTTATGCAATCTGATGAAACTCAAAAATATTTTTCGACCACAAAAAGAATTTAGTTATCAAAATACCTGATTAAAAATTTTTTTTTCTTAATATTTTAGAATTTATAAGTGATAATAGTTTGAATAGAACTAATTAAAAATAATACAAAAAAAAAAATAATTCAACTCAATTAAAAAAATTCGACTTAATTGAAGTCGTAGACTTGAATTACTTGTCTTTAAACATAAATTTTTAAAAACAATCCTAGCATACGTCAGGAGATCGAGCAACTCGAAACACATTTGATTTTTTTTTCTCACCACAATTTGGTTTAAAGCTCAAATAGTCATTTCATCATGGTATTACATACTCTGGCAAAAATATAAGGCACTCCTGTGGAGCAGCCGTGCTTAAGAACTATTTTCATCTAATACAAACGTGCTTGTACCAACACCCTCCTACAAGGACAATATAATTCATGTCCGGTGCGTCTCCACTTTGACTCTTTTTTTTTTGTCGTTAACTATTGGTTATCATTATAGTTTTTTTTTATCATCCTATCATTCAAATTTTGAGCACTCACACAATGTCTTGTGCAATATAGTAAAATACCCAACAGATGATTTGGCTTCACCTGCTCATTGGCAGTATGGCGCTGTTTTAGCACTTTATGGATAATAACAAAAAGATAACTAATAATCATAATAATAATAATAACAATAACAACAATAAAGATACAACTAAATGCGTATGTTCGCTTGAATACAAATATATTATCTATTGCTCGAGCAGCTGTCCGCCACATTTGGGGCACATTGGGCTGTGTTAGGCCGTGTTACAAGTGTTAACTCTCCCGTTGAGTCCCAACAAGGTACGCAATACGTGTGTACCGCCTCGATCGAGAATGATCGCCTGCACCGCCCACGCTTGTGCACCAAAAAATCGAGCTGATCCAGGCCAAGTGTTTGCAACCCCTAAAAACACCTTTGAAAATATGATCCCACGTGCAATCCCTTTGCTCTTCTCTGGCGCGCTCTCGAGTGCCCGATCCGCCCCCAAGACCAGGGCTCGTGGACGCATCGACGACACAGGAGAACGAGAGTAACGAGACAAATCCACCATTGGTCTGGCATCGGGTGCTCGACTCGCGTTATCCCTCGTGTCCACCGTGTACCCTCTTATTCTTGAGTTAAAGGCCGGAAAGAGGGACAGACGGACGGCAGCGGCTCTTTCATCTACTGTCAGAGAAGAACGCATTTTTCTGATCCACCAGTGGCTTCGTTGCCGGCGGCTCCGGCGGACCCGCTGTCGCAGGACTGGTGGCGCAAGGAGCCGCTCGCCGTTGGTGACGGGACCTTGCCCTCCAGTGACTGGATGCTCTTCATCAGCTCGCGAAACACCTGCGCATACGTCGTTATTTCTATATTATATACCGATTGACTTCATACACGTG